GGAAGGGAAGCGTCTCTCCGGCAAACAATCGCGTTTTTTCTACTTTTTTTTTTTTTTTTTTTTTTTTTGTTTCCCCACTATAGTTCTCGAAAAGCGCCATCTCGTAGGGCGTAAGTCGTAGAACGGCGTAACAAACGCATGAAAATTTTATCGAAATAAAATTCTTGAGGAAGATTTTTTTTTTTTTTATCGCTTAGTTCGTTCTGGAAGAACTTTGTATATCGCTTCTCTCTCTATATGCGTCGATATTGTGTCGACTATGATAATTGTGCTCTAGCATCTTGGCGCTGTGTGGCGCTAGTTTCTAGATTAAAATGCATAAAAGCTTCTGTAGCGGCTTAAATATGATAATTATATGAATGTGCTAAGTAATCAAATAGCTGGCATGTGGATTAAATGAATATTGGAGATCCAACGGTAGCCGATAAAATAAACCGTAGATTCGCAAGCTTTGTGCTGAAATCAAATTTCAACGCGGTGAAAACAAGAGGTTTAAGTGCGTGTTTTTTGTTTTCTTTTTGTGACATTTAGGAAAACGCTGAAAAATGCCGGGTTTTAGCAGTGTTGGCACGTTCAAAATCTTCATTGGTAATTTAGCCGATAAGACCTCGAACGGAGACATCAAGCCGCTGTTTGAGAAGTATGGCAAAGTTGTGGAATGCGATGTGGTAAAGAATTATGGCTTTGTGGTGAGTAATCTTTTTTTTGAGTTAATTCATTGTCTCGAGCAAAATTACAAATGTTCTTTTCTTGTGATGCACAGCATATGGAAAATGAGGAAGCTGGAAGGAATGCGATTCAAAATCTGAATGGACACATGGTTCACGGACAGCCAATAAAGTGTGAAGCGGCAAAGAGTCGTAAGGGTCCCAATACTCCCACCACGAAAATCTTCGTCGGTAATCTTACAGATAACACAAAGGCGCCGCAAGTACGGGAACTGTTCGCCAAGTATGGCACGGTTGTCGAGTGTGACATCGTACGAAACTACGGTTTTGTTCACCTCGAGGCCGCGGGCGACGTTAACGAGGCTATCAAGGAGCTCAACGGACAGATCGTGGATGGACAGCCAATGAAAGTGCAGATTTCTACGAGCAGAGTGAGACAGAGGCCAGGAATGGGCGATCCGGAGCAATGCTATCGATGTGGACGAGGCGGTCACTGGTCTAAAGAATGTCCCAAGGGCGGAATGGGAGGCGGTCCCGACAGAAATGGATATAGGGACAGGATGTTCGGACGTGATCCTTATCCGCCGCCTCCACCACCACCGTTCCTTCGGGACAGGCTCATGGGTGGTGGCCGCTTTGGAGTAAGTTCGTTTTCTGCTTAATGAAAGTTGCACTTTTGTCTTATTACGAACTTACTGATCATCCGTTACACCAATGTTCTTGATAACAAGTAACGAGTAGGCAATCAATCATCTTCACGTGCTATTTCGCGTTATTAATCTTTCAAAATTTTGCTTGTTTCAGGACTATGAGAGCTACTACGACAGACGGGGCTTCGAGGACACCAGGGATCTTTACGAAAGGCGGTTTACTGGTATGACAGGGCCCGACATGGGAAATCCCATGTGTGGGCCTGACTATCCACCAATGTCAATGCCACCTGCAAGACGAGATCCAATGTCTCCTATGCCTCCTCTAGGTATGGGATCCATGCGTGACACTGGCTTCTCCCGTGGTAACGAGTACGGTATGTTCAGCCGCCGATCACCCCCTCCAAGTGGCAACAACGGCCGGTTCAGGTGAGTAGGTACTCTCGGCGTACCGACACTGCCCAATCGTCCGACTTAACATTGTGAACGTTCCAGGCTGGATTAACAGCTCATGCGAATTGGGGTTTCGGTGACTCGTCGACATGTTTTTTTAATTTTGTCGCATTACATTTTCTCTCTACTACACGTAGACTTCTCGATTTGTATCTCTTCCTCTTAAAACACACGTCTCCTTAATTTTTTTTTTTTTTATCCTACAGAATAGAGTGAATGTGCGTCGAGTCTCGATATGCTTGCGCGTGACCGCGAGATTCGACAATGTTCACACACATACACACACACACACGCCTCGACTTCATTGCAAAACAAATCTTTTGCCCTTTTCGCTCTTTTTTCGTTAACTGCATATTCTTTTTTACAATCTTCGGTTTGTATTCTCTTAATCTTTTTTGCTGTCGGATGTTTATAACGGGACTTCTCTCTATCTCTCTTTCTCGAGACAAATGTTACTTGCGCGACACAACGCATGATCGTTATATCGCCTATCTGCAATATTATTACTTTTTCACGTGTCACTCTTTGAAAACTTTTAAAATTGATAATTTCACAACACGTACAAGTGTCGACCCGACGCCCACATGAGTGCAGACTCCGTCGTAGTGAAATGTTAATTTGTATGACGCTTGGACGTTTCTGTACATTCTAAATTTCAGTGCACCTCAGGCGTACCATCTTTGTCCATGAACGCGGGCAACCCTAGAGAGACAGTCCCGGGTCAACGTTCAAGTTGTACAAGAGTAAGTCTTTTGACTCATTTTGTTAGCGAGTAGTCACGCCTCGTTCTTGTCGCTGCAAACAACAATGATATCCGCGTCAGACAAAACACAGCAGCCGCGCGCCTACGTCATTCACGTTGTGTCTTGCGTCGTCTGTGGTGGTCTCGAAATCTTATTTCTTTTTCTTTTTTTCTTTTTTTAATTTATTTTTTTTATTTTTTTTAAATTTTTTTTCTAACTTTTGTTGTGCCGGGTCTCGACTGACTGTGCCTTGAACATGTCGACTGCTCTTCTAGGGATGTCCTAGTTCATAGACTCTCTTGATCCATGGCATTAACTGCGAGATTGGCCTGTATGTCTCTCACTGAATCCTTTGTGTTTCAAGCGCTCCCTATTACGCACATCACATAGCCGGGAGTGGCGCGGAGGCCTGGGATGAAGAAACGTTCCTACAGAATGCGAACTAAATTTCTCTCGATCACTCTACCGCGAGCCAGGATGCGATCTGCAATTTTTAAAACGAAACTCGCGCACAAATGTAGATAGAGCAAAACAAAACAAAAAGAAACAGGACTGGCGCGATTTTGGAAAATGGCGCATTGAATCGATTGTCTTTGAAACGTTTCGTAAGTAGAAACCAGCTCTTCAGACGAATTGGACCAGTAAGTTTCGTAAGTTTGTTCTGCCTCACACGATATCTAATCTATAATAGTTCAAGACAATTGTTTCAGAGGCTTAGAAACATAAAGCTTCACGCAAGTAACATTCGATTCGATTAAAACAAATTCGATTTCACAACATATTTATCTTTTGTTACATACGAAGACATGTTTGTTAATTTGGAGCACTACTTGCGTATCCAACAATAAAGTGATTTTTAAAAAGTACAAACAAATCAAGATACAGTTTTACTTTTGTTTACAATGTGTTGCAAAAAATGTGATAAGATATATCAGTTCTTCAATTTATAATTCACACGTGTCGTCGAGTACCTGTTTCTTTTTCCTTTTTTTAGATTTTTTTTTTTTTTTTTTTGCTATCATGTAACTTCGTGTGATTGAAATTATGTCCAAATAGTTGTATGAAAATTAATATTTTGTTTAAATTGTGTTCTAAAATTGTATAAAAATCAATAATATTTTGTTTTGAACGTGACGCTTTTTGTCTAATTAAATATTTAAAAACAAATTGTGTTAAATTTTATAATTTTTGTAAATATATAAAACGTCCACAACGCCACAAACTGAAATCGTGTCAGAGAGAAAAAAAGTTTGTCGTTCGAGTTTCGTGGTTTTTTCAACGCAGATTATCGCAGATTTGGCCAAGTTAAAAATTCGCGAAAAGGGCAACGAAGTAATTTTCATTTCTGTTTGTTTGTTTGTTTGTTTTTTTTAATGTACATATATACATATATTTTTGTGTTTTCGAAATTACGATCCATAGTTCTTGAAGCTGACTTCTACTCACGAGGTTCAAAGCGTTTCATGTATGTAAATCCATTCGTAAATACGTTCAAATAGAAACCAGAATTGATTGAATATCTCTCCAGTTTTTCTCTAAATAATTGAATTTGTTGTTGCACGTTACCTCTCTCTCACTACCCTCGTTTTACCCCCCGTAAAATCCCAGCCTGGGCTGCAAATGACTTAATTTGTTGCAAATAATACATTCGTTGTTTTTTTGTTTTTCTTTTGGCGAAGCTATAAATTTGCAAGTCGCATGGGTTAAAAATCCAGTCTCTCTCTCTCTACCGCTGCCTGCCTCATATGACTAGTTTACATATCCCACATGTTCTCTTCACTGGCCGTTTCGTTTCCCATCGAATTGTTTGTCGATCGTTCAAAGTTGTACAGATAGCGATTTAATTGTTGCTTCGTGCACTGTTTCGTAGGTCCTTGTAGCTTTGAGCGTGTGCACGTATTAATGAAACATTTCTCTTGAAAGTGTGTCTTACGACGCAAACAAGACTTAATTTTCCTTCACGAACATGTCGAAAGTCCAGGTTGTTGTACGCACTACTATTGTACATGTGCGGTGTTGGTTGTCGACGCAAGAGTAAAGAGACAGGAAATCCTTGTGGAAAAGTTGACAGTGTAATCTGTTTTCTCCAGATTGGTTTGTCCTGAACTCTTTCGAAGTAGGCATGAAATACTTTCCGTCCCGATCCCAAAAAAAAAAAAACTCGACAGTCATATTAGGCGAGGCACGCGACTCTTGTTTCCTCTTTGCACGTGATTATGTATGTACAGGGACTAATTCACAAAGTTAAGCCTTGGACAAGGGAGCCAGTAAAATGGTATATGTTGATCTGATCTCAATAGTAGATTCGATTATTTATTATACCGCTGTTATAGTAGAGGCATGTACGAGGACTTCAGCCGAGATTCGTTTGAAGAGCGTAGGTAAGTAGAGTGAAGTGACACTGGGTCACGATACCGCCCGGATTTGAAATCCAATTCGCGATTTATTATTCAGTAAAATAAGCCGCCCTCTTCTTTATGTTACGATCATTTCTAAAGCAATGTCTTCAGTTTTGTTTTTTTCTTTTTTTTTTTTTCTGTTTTGGGTTTTTTGGTTTTTTTTTTTTTATTATTATTTTTCAAACACAAGTCAGTCGCTTCAGTTAACGTTGTCTTGCTTTGCTTTAACAACTCATCAGGAAGAATTTTTTGTATAAGATATATTTGTCACAATATGTACACTTGTTGAAAATCGCACCCTTGAAAAAAAAAACATTGCCTTTGTTTGTCAAAAGAACAAAGTTTATGTGATAATTAAGAAATACGATCTTTCATAAAGAAGAGTGCTCCGGAAGAGAACGAGTATTTTTTAGCGCGAAATATTTTTCTAGTATGGTTCGAGAACAAAAAAAAAAAAAAAAAAAGAACCGTTAGCGAGAAAAACGAGGTATTCTTCGAGTTGCTGATTCCCCTTTTCTCTCATTTTTTTAAATCTTTTTTCCTTGCTACGTATTAGTCACGATCGATCATATTCACTCTACGTACTGTTACACTCTACAATTTCTTTCTTCCGTTTTTAGATCTTATGTCACATAAATGTGTATATATATATATATAATATATATATGTATTATATATATCATAGCTTTAAATTTTTCAATTTGCTTTTTTTCATTTTTTTTTTTTTCTTTTCTTCTATTATCCGTGTTTTTTGTCCGTCGATCTCGTGTGACTGACGTGGCTTAATTTTGATTACCAGACCGGGATTACGAGGGCCATCGCCGTCGCGCCGGTTCGCACCATACTAAATCGTCGCGTCGGGCTCGGATCGGTCTCTGTGTCGGTCGTCGGTCCGTCGGGTCTGTCTGTCGCTAGCAGGAAGCCTCGGAAAACGAGATACAGTCTTGGCCGTCTTGCGAACTGCACGCGTGAAGATCTGCCGCCCGCTCTACGTGAAATATGTGCTACCCTGCGATCTGTTTATACGAGCCAAAAATCGGAGACAAAAATAATAATAATAATAATAATAGAGCGACACCAAAACGAAAATATACAGCCAAGCCACACAAGTAGCGGATACTCGCAGAAAAATTTACGAGAATTATCTCACGAAAAAATTTATCCCCCCTCCCCCCTGTTTTGCCCGTCCTCGACTCCTCGATCTTTCCGAGACTCTCTCGCTTAACCGATTTTCCCTCGATTTGTGTATACCTCTCGTTGTTTTTGAACCGTTATATATAAATCTCTTTCTCTCTCTCTCCCTCTCCCTTTATCTTCTCAACACCTTCTCTTAGATCACACACTCCTTCGTTCTCGTTTTACATTTGTACAAAGGATCAGAATTAGAGTTACCCTAAGAACTCGATGTGTAGTGTAGCTCCACCGCGAAGACTCCTCGATCCAGGTTCTCGAAACCAAAATTTGTTTTTTGGTTTTTTTTTTTTTTGGTTTGCGACAAAAAAAAACAAATTTTCACTTGATGGATCTCCTATTTTTCAAGTTCGCAAACAACTTTTCACTCGATTGAAGACGGATTTATCGACGTTCGACTTTTTAAATCGCAACTTTTTCGAAAAATGGATTGGTCGAATCGACGAGTGTTCCGGTGGAGAATTTATTCCGCGGCGACACGATCACTGTTTCCGTGACGATGACGCGTCATACCGTGTCTTCTCCCATCGTTTGTGCAGCGATGGAAGATCACGTGAGACTTGAAACGATCAATCTCGAAACATCTCGGGACCGTCTTCGTTCTCACCCATGGAGAACCGTGTGAAGAAGAGAAAAGGAAAGAGACAGTTTGTCGAAGTATTTCGAGAATGAATCGTTAAAAAAAGTCTCAGCGATCTTCCAGTCGCTGCCCAAAGTCTTTGCGCAACGCGATAGGGACTCGTGTCGCGCGCGTACGCGTCACATTTCGTCGCGAGAGACGTATCGAGAGACGAATTCTAACCGATTTATAGTGCGTAAGTAAGGCGTTCAAATATCGACAGATTGTTCATAAAGCTTGTTACCAATCATCATCCCTCCCGCCCCCCCCGCGTACGACGATTATTGCGTGGTTGTACTACACGTACAACTCGTGATTTTTAAATCTGTAGATCAGTCGAAGAACCGAGTTCTCTCTGTCGTCATTGTTTTGCTGTGCCGAATGAGTGTGAGATCTTCCGCCGGATCATAGCGCCCAAATCTTTATTATTGCCAGATTCTTATTACCGACGTATATAATTCGTCGTCTGGAATAAAAAATTTAAAAAAAAAAAAAAAAAAAAATGAAATGCGAGAATGAATTGTACCAGGGATGCGTCGCGGGATTTGTTCGCGTTCAGACGATTTTGTCCGCCTTCATGTGTATCTCGGTCGGAATTGTTCACCAGATCACTCCTTATCGGCGAAAACAAACCGCGACACGGTCTCTACCGTGAAGGGTAAAATTGAAAAAAAATTATGCGAAAAACTTGTAGTATCTTCTGAGCGAGAACTTTAGCTTTAATTTTCGAACGTACGATTGAAAAGAAGACGAAAAACAAATTGAGCGCAGATCGTATATATTTTCCGAGACGGTCGAATCTACTGTCGTTTGGATGAGCAATATCCTATTATTTTTTAAATAGATATTTTGTATAGAAAAAAACAAAACGTATAAATCTATATAGATTATTACTGAAGTTGCGGTTTCACATTTAGTAGACATTTAGTATATTCGCGAAAGAACGTAGGCGTCGTATTTGCAAGAAAACGTGCGAAATTTTTCTTTTTTCCCCTTTTCAAAATGTATAATGGGATTAATGCGGGTTCGACCGTTTAGAAAAATTTTCTCACTTCTTTCTCTCTCTCACACTCTCTCAGTAAAAAAAAGAAAAAAAAGAAAGAATTATAAATTCGACGTAGGACCCGGTAGGATGCGCCGATTCTGTATGGAAAAAAAACAAAAAAACAAAAAAAAAATCCAAGTGACCGAACATTTATGCTTAGCGTATATAGTACCGTAATCATTTTATTAACGTAGAATTAACTCTGACCTAAAACAGAAAAAAAAGACGGTGTTGTAATAATCGCAATTCCATTTTTTCAAGCGTAGATACTTGCTGTGTAAGTCCTTTTTTCTTCTTTCCTCTTTACGCCTTTTCTTTTTTTGTCGAGAACGAAAGTGTTTTCATTACATATACTATATAAATTATAATAATAATATGATGATGAATATGAGAAAAAAAATGTAATAATATCAATGACAATGTATTTGTGAAATTCACAAAAAAAAACCGACGTGTGTTACGTGTTTGATTGCATCACACCGCTCTCTTTGACTCTCTTTCGCGGCGTGTCCTTTCGCCTCAAGCAACGATCCCTCTTATACAAGAAAAAGCTCCCCATCCCGTCTCCTCTATCTCGCGCCACGAAAACAAAAAAAAAAAAAAGAACAAACTTCGATCCGGGTACGATCGGATGCGCGCTCTCTCTTCGCTGGCTTCCTGCGCGTTTCCGCTCCGCTCAACCAACAACACGCCAAAATATCTCGATTCGGAACGCGTAATGGCGCGCTCTCTCGCTCGTCTTTACAGCCACCGTTGTGCGCGCGCCTCGGACTCTCCGGAGTTCGATTGCCGATATATTCACAGGTAGAGTCTGCGATATTCTCCATCCTCCACCCTCCTCCCCCCTTCAAACGACCCTGATTATACCTTGTATCTTCTTGTTTAATCGATATGGTGCAATCTCTTTCGAAAGACAGTATTTGTATATCAAACTGTGTATCGTAGATCACTCTATTCCGGATTTTTAAATTTTCGATAAACTCCAACTGATTGTTATTATTTAATTTGTTTTTGTTTCAGATACTGATTCTCATAGAAGTTGCACTGTATCGTCGAAACCATATATCGGAACTTAAAATCATTCACAAAGTAACATTCATATATATATATATATATATATATGTATATGTATATTGTATATTTGGCACTCTTCAAAGAATTTTTATACAAATTACATTTAATTTACATGATTTCTCTCATTTCTCCACCGCCTTGTTCGTGTCGTATGTTAATTGAGCAGTGAACCAGCAGTAACGTCGCTGTCTCGATTTTCTTTCGGTTTTTCGACCGCAACAAATTTCTTTACTCGTTGGTTGTAACCTTTCTGTGTAATTGTCGAGTCTGTTTCTCTCTTCCTCTTTGTGTCTCGCAACGGCTTCACATTTCATTTTTAATTATTGCAAACAAACAGAGATTGCAACGCGTTAGTTTATAGTTTCACTTAAAGTTCTGATTTCGACGTTGCGGATACTTGATCCTCCGTGTTAGAAGAGGATCGCGTTTTTTTTTTTTTTATCCGCAACGTCGGAAACCTTTTTGAAATCGGCGAGATTATCGCGACCTTTGATTCGTGGTCTATTGTTTTTTTTTTCTCTCTCTCTCTGCGCTGTTTTACAATGTTAATGGCTGTAACAGCGAGATATTGTCATCTAACACCACACGTGATATTGTTCGTTGACTGATGTTTTCAGAACGATTGGCACTGCAGAACATAAGATGGTTACGCAAATAGCATGGAACTAGCGCGAAATATGTTGCTTCACATCATGCGCACACGGACGTGAAATTTATATAAACTTTTTAATATAAAAAAACACAGATCAGAGAATACATACAAATTACAGATAACGAATTCCAGATAAGAAGTTCTTTTTCCATTCCCTTTGCCTTGCCTCATCAGATAAGACTCCATTTTTTTTGTTTTTTTTTTTTTNTTTTTTTTGTACGTTTGACTCACGCGTGTTTTTTGCAAGTTTTTATTTTTCAACGAACTTCTCAGAAAACACGTACGAAAGAAACATCTCCCTTTCTAGCTGGCTCTCTCGAACTAGGCTGAGTTCGCTCGTCCGAAGTGATTTATGTCGTTTTAATTGAGATTGAAATTTTAATTGAGAAGAACAAAGAGACAAATCCGACTTCAGAAAATCCATGGAATCTGATATTGCGAGAGAGATGAAATTCTTTCTTTTTTTTCTTCTCAATTCTGAAGCTATCATTTTGTAAGTACTAGGGAGAATTTTTTGCCGTTCCCTTTCACCGCATTAATATCTTTGTATGGTAGTGCGGTTTGTTTGTTTGTTTTTTTTCTTTTTTTTTTTTCTGCATAAATCACTTGATTAAGCCAAAGTTACAAATGTTGCTGCTTTATAATACAAAGATAAAAAAAAAAAAAGAACTCGGAAAACGACTGTAAATAGACGACGAACTGAATGTAATATTTATTTTTGTTTATTGTGTTAATCTGTTCTCACACTCTCACACACTCTTTCTTTATTAGTATGTACATGATAATGCTTATTATTATGTGCCAGTCAAACTTGCAGAGTCGGAGATTGAATTCAAGTCTACAGAAATTGGATTTTGGCTGGAAATCGTCTTACCAATCGACCCCCGCAACAGAGGCAGGCAGAGGTGTCCGGCCGCATTCTGTGTAACTAAAGTATCCAGTTCGCTGTGCGAATCCTTCCAAAGTTACTTTAAGAGATTTACTGTACGAGCGACTCTGTCAGAATGACTTTGGAACCTGTAGAACGCCAGACACACTCGACCGCTCGATCATCTCTCCATACTGTAATATGGTGAGCAGACTCCTGTCCTGCTTAAAATACCTAATAGACTATTTCTCCGCGAAACAGCGGGAAAGACCGGCCTGAGCTGTGTTGTGTCCTGTGTAAAAAAAAAAAAAAAAAAAAAAGATTAGCGTGAATCTCTCTCATAACTCTGTCGCAAGAGTTGCGAGTTTGATCGGTGCATAAAGTGAGTGTGTCGATGCCCGTTAACTTTGGCTTTGTCGTTTATTTATTTATTTTTTTTTTTTTTTAACCAATTGCACGGAACATATTTCGCCGAACTCAGAAAATTCGAATAGCATGAATAGCGGAACATGTTTCGCCGTTGAGAATGTTAACGCACGAGATGTCTCAGAACCAAGGTACAATCTTGTTTACTTGAAGTCCGGATAACTAATTCACTTTGAAACTCGGGAAAGTCAAATCGAATTCTTGCACTTAAAAAAAAAAAAAAAAAAAAAAAA